TATAAAAATGAAACCAAACGGAATTTTTTGAGCCTTTAATATAATGGCAAAAAGCCTTTAATAAGTAACGGAATTGTAGCGCAAATTTGTTGCTCAAAGCCATTGTAGAGTCAATGTATTGGCTGTAGATTTGTGCCACAAAAATATGATTACAGACTCTCGACTCAAACAAAGGAATCAAATGTATTATTCTCTCAACAATTTGCTACCAAAAAGTCAAAGAAATGCCGACTCTTTCCACTCATTCCCTCTATTTCTTTATGTTTTACTTTTACTCTTCTTTCTCTAGCTTTCTATTGGGGATCAAGAAGTTAGAGCACATCGTATGCCTGTTATGTCTCGTGTCTTATATAATATTATATATATATTTGAGAATTATGTGAGACTTTGATTCACATATTCGCCAATTTCTATCTCATATATATATATCTCATATATATCTCATATATCTTCCACTTATTGGCCTTTTATGTTGAGATGCGTCTCGAGATTGTCTTCTCAAGTGCTTCACTACTACTACTCATTGAATCGCAATCTTATTAATACAAGTGTCACACAATAGAGGCTTTAATTTTAATTGAATTGTTAAAAATATTTACGTGTTTTACTCGTATTAATACAACACAAATGTATTTTAACTTTTATCACAACAAATACAATCAATTTTGCGGTGCAGTTGAGAGGTCTATAGACTCTTAAAGTATTTGCTAATGTCTTCACCCAAAGTAGTGTTTTGTCTTTCGTTGGTCAGCAAGAAGTCAAGCACTGGTAGTACAGCCCCTGTAGGGAATGTGTGGTCCGTTGAGTTATGAGAGCATTAAAAGTCTGCGAAAATTCACAAATAGTGAGAGAATTAAATAGGAAAATAGAAATGTGTGGAAACGAGAGTATGAAATGCTTTTTATATGTGTTTCGAGTGAAAACTCAGAGCACCGGCACATTCCGAGGGGAGTATTATAAGTGAGGGATAAAAAGCAAGTAATGCCAAAAGTGGCCACAATTTAGTTCCGCGTTTTGGGCATTGGTTTGAGGTTAAGCTCTATTGAGTCCATACTATAGTCTTTGGATTTTTTCTCTTTTGTTGTTTGTTTGCACTTTCAATCGAATCAAATATTTTTCATATTTTGCTTATGGTTTTGGTTTCATTTTTCTTTGTTTATAGCGATAGATATCTTAACGAATAAAATAAAACAAAACAGAATTGATATTTCATTCAAAATGATAAATGACTTTATAGTACGAAATGATTGTAATATTCGTATCATGTATTGAGTTTACACCAGTCCTTCAGAGTTTACACTAAATATTTTTGCAGCACTTTTCAAAAAAAATTTTCTAAAATTTATTAATATTTGCCAATCATTTGGTGTTTAAACAATAGGTTGTCTAAAATATATTAAACATTTTTGAAAATCAATACTATATTTAGTGATATTCTTGAGATATTCTAGGTATCAGAACAAGATGTTATAAAATGCACACAAATTGTATGGTTTGATGACTTGTGAGACACTATTCATATCTCATATCCTTTTACTTTGAATATTATACCCCAAAAAGAGATGAGTTTAGCTATATTTCCAGCAATTTATTCAGAAATTCTGTACATTTGTTTGAAATAGCGTTTGACTATAAAAACAAAATACTCAACAATAAAGGCATACAATGTTTTGGTGATTCAAATTCCTGTACATAAGTTTGCAAATAGTTTGCAAACAATTTGTTTAAAATTTATTAAAACATGCAAACGTTACATAAATTTGCAACATTATTAGAATATTTAAGCAATTTTTCATTATTTATTAAGAGTTAACAATAAGTATTGAATATACTCTGCAGTCAATGAGAAAGTCATTAAATTTTATGAATTTTATTTTACAATATTGTTTCGTAAATAGAAATAAATGGAAATTTTTTTAATTAAATAAATTTTCCAAATTGTTCATAAAACAAATGCTCAAATTAAATGATTATTAATATGTGTGTAGTATTTGCGGCACAACTTTATGATTACATAGTATTTAATAGTAACTTATAGGAAGTCATAGTAAGTAATAGTTTGTAGTGAGGGCTGGAAGTGGCGGTAATTATAGCGGATCTCCTGTGCATTATCATCGTGTGATGTCACAGATCTGGGAGTCAGTGGTGGTCTGGTCTGTGGTGATGGTGTGGATGTGTTGGATGTGTTGCACGTCTTGAGTGTTTTGCAATTTGTCTATTTGTCCGTCCGTTTAGAAATGACAGGTCATAGCCATACGTGATTAATGGGCGCCAATATAGCAAACGTTAAGTAATAGTAATAGTATTAGTGAAAAATGTTGATAACTATAGGTCTCGTATGGCCGTCAGAGTGGGAGTCCGACAATTGATGGACTCATATATAGTATTTGTCAACACAATACAAATGGTCACCCAATACAACACCTGAGACCGCAAACGGTTAAACACTGAATGATCGCATTTAATGCCTTAAGGCTTGAATTTGTGTCCATTTATTCAATGAATTACGAGACCAGTAATAGTCTGTTATTGTCTTTCATAGTCTTTTTCTATGACTTTCTTTACATTTACTCAATAAATGTTTGGATAAAAGAGGACTCAATTTATATGCATTAAGGAGTGAAGGCTTTGAGTTGAGCCTAAAAAACTGTATTATTACCCAAAACTTGTTTCTCCTTTTGCTTAGAGGTGCACAGCTTTTCTCTCTTTATTATCTGTTTTTCGCAATTATATTAAATGCAATAATGGCTTCAATTTATAGCCATTTCCGTATAAACTTTGCCACCAATTGTTCGCTAAATATTGTTATGCATATAATCCGCGCCTTATATACACCGCAACCTCCTTGAGCCTCAATCCGTTAGCCATTATCTAAGAGCTCAAGAATTTTCTAATAAACATTTCTCGCATTTTTCACATAACTTTAGGTCCAGATTTCTGGGGACGACTCAACCCTAAGTGGAGTCTATGCAGTCGCGGTCGACGACAGTCTCCCATTGATATCAATCCTAAATTATTACTATTTGATCCCAATCTCAGCCCCATCCAAGTGTACGGCGATTATGTGAGTAATGCTTAATATATTTCCATTTTCTTATACTTGTTTAGTAGTCTCTATACACTAATTAAGCTTAACTCTACTATTGTGTGATAGAGTCCAAGCCTTTGCTTACATACAATACTGTAGTAAAGTTATTGTTATTTAAATAGAAAAAATTTATAACTAATGTCACGACTCGTGGAAAGATTTTTGATAATTATGTGTATTATTTGTTTCACACGAAAAACTTTAGACAATGGTTTTGCGCGCAATTAAAGAGCAGATACAGTAATTGCCATATTAATTGTTTTTCTACTAATTATTTGCACACAAATGCAGCGCAGATTGTGTCACATATTTAGATGTAAAATATGGGCATACATTTTATGAGAAACTTTTTTCAATTTCAAATTTTTAAACCCAATTCAATAGTGAGCCAAACGGTATGGAAAAAGAGGCTTTTGTTCATCAGTTATATTATGAGACAGTTATTCAATGCATATGTCAAATGCATTCAATTATTTGTGACAACTTTTGCTGATAATAGAAGTGATACCTAGAATTGCATGAAGAATATGTTGCCATAAAGTATTTCTACTTTAATAACCAGAATAATGAATTAAACACCATGTTATGCAGTGCTCATATACTTTTTATGACTATTTATTTTGTCGTATATTCTGATATTAAGCACTATATTTGAATACAAATGAAAACCTAATGTCTTGTGTTATGTATTGTCGCGAAACAAAAGTAGAAATCCTTGCGATGCATAGAAAGTAATAAATTTCTATAATATTTATATATATTTTCAAAAAAAATGTTTTCTTATTCTTTTCATTTATGGTATTGAAAACGTGATACAAAATAAATCTTTTTACAAATCAAAAATCGCCACAAACATAAGTAAAAGTAAAAAGTGTTGTTTAAATTCAAAACTGTAAAATCCCAATCTAAGTGTCTACAGTGTATAGAATATAGTCTTGAGGATATCGTTTTTATTTATATAGATCATCTTGTGAAAATCATTTTTCTAACTTATAATAGATTTTTCATAATTATAAACAAAACTATGCAATGAATAAAATTATTTCTAAAGTTATTTGTACTGAAAATTTCAAAAAAGTTTGAAAGTCATAAAACAGCGTAAAGTAAACTTTTGTGCACTACACGAGACCGTGCGATGAAGTATGCTTGTTACTATGTAACTTTAATTTGTATCTAGGTATCTAGTTAAAAAAATATCAATCAACTAACTGTTGAACATAATTGATTACAAACATTAGGTGAACGGAAACCTACAGAACTCGGGTCGCGGTATACTATTCAAAGTGAGTGCCAACCGCACAGCGATCATAAGCGGCGGTCCCCTATCATATCAGTATACACTCAAAGAAATGGTATTTATTTAGAAAAATGTTTAGTTTTTAGCGGTGTTTGTATTCATTTTCATTTTTCACAACAAATTTAAGTTTTGACATTTTAGGGTTAGATTCACAGATGTCACATATCTTATATCAGAACTCCTATAGTTTTTTATTTATATAGATCATCTTGTGAAAACCATTTTTCTAACTTATAATAGATATTTTCATAATTATAAACAAAACTATGCAATGAATAAAATTATTTCTAAAGTTATTTGTACTGAAAATTTCAAAAAAGTTTGAAAGTTATAAAACAGCGTAAAGTAAACTTTTGTGCACTACACGAGACAGTGCGATGAAGTATGCTTGTTACGTTACTATGTAACTTTAATTTTTATCTAGGTATCGGAATTTGTATCTAGGTAGTTGAAAAAATATCAATCAACTAACTGTTGAACATAATTGATTAATTTGTAATCCACTTGCCTTTGGATGTCTTGAGCCCAGCGCCATATGATAAGTTTCACTCACGGTTGGCGTGTCGCTAGTATTCGCCGCCAGGGGATAGTATAGTCATATGTGAGTTTCTTTACCATATACATTACGGACGTGAAAACGACAGGGGATCGGAACATACTATTAGTGGTCATCAATTTCCTGCCGAAATTCAATTGTATGCCTTTAATTCGCAATTATATGCCAATTGGAGTTCAGCCCAAAGCGAGGCTAATGGTGTGTTAGCCATAGCCGTACTCATAGCACACACGCAGCAATCGATCGGCGGAAATGCTCAGTTGAAACACATCACACATACACTGAAAAATATTACCAAAAAAGGTATCCATTTGTTCATAACTATCATTACATGTCAAATAGTTTTGTGCCTTAATTATAGATATTTCTTAGTTTTATTGTCTAATAGTCTGTAATTATAAATTGAGTTCAAATTCTTTGTGTGGAGTTTTGTTTTAGAGAAATATAGTCTTTGTAATTAAGATGTTATGGATTCATATTTTTGTGTTTAATTGCATATAATTAGGAGTACTTTCGTGAAATAATATCATAATTATAACTGCAAATAATCTCTGAGTCAATAAAAACTTTTGTCTTAGACTTCATTAGAGAATTTAAAAAGTTTTTATATTACAAATTACAGTCATTTAACTAAAAATTTATTTCGTTAAACTCATGATATGTAATTATCGTATGTAAACACGAATACTCTGTAACACAATTAATTAGGTCATTAATTCAATACGTAACGAAAATTCGACTAAGAATATAAAATTTGTGATGAATTATCAAACCAATTATTTTGGACGAATTAATTTACTTTGAAAATTCTTAATAAAGTTATTAATTTTGTCCGAAATGTCCAAAAGACACGCAAATTGTGATATTATTTTAATATTAAAGTTAATTCACTCATTATTTGTATTTTATTATATATTTAAACTATCTTGAAATTATTTTAATACCATTTAAAAATGGGATATAATTTTTAATTCTATATATTATACTTATATGATGTAAAATTTGATTTTAAAAGTTGGATTATTTTTAAATAAATACTTCTTGTTAGATTTTAGGCCTGTTAGATACTGACAAAATAAACAAATAATTAAGTCAAATTTATAGTTATACTAATTCATGAATATAATAACTAATTATAACATGATGAATAATTAATAATCCGGGAAAATGTTAGTCTTTTTTAAACAACACTTTAACTTTGAGCTCAATTTAATGGAAACTTTTGTTGTTTTCGAGTAATTTATTTGGACTTTGCTATGAAAAAAGCATAAAGACATTCAATTATCACTGTTTTATTACCTATCGGCATATTCAGTATTGAAGACACGATTGACAGGGAATAAATGTTCGGTAATTACCCTTGCATTTATGCCCGGGAAAGTCCGTTAGCGCTTTATTATTACTTTATCACTAACATTAGTTGTAATTACTTTCTCTCTTAAGGTGACAATCAATGGATTAGTTCTCTGAGTGTCAGAGAATTATTGCCGACTTTGAAGATAATGTAGTGTATACTCCCTAGTGACTGTGTCGGCAGCACAGTGCTTTGCCAGTGAACCTAACATGAGTTATTTGGTTAAATATACTGAAAGGTAGTCAAAGTAGTCAACTCCTGATGATACGTATCTGATGGACATGGAGACAACTTCAGACCACTTCAACACATCAATCACAGGGCTATGCGAACCAGCATTAACTTCCAGGTAATTTCAAAACACATTCAATATAATCAAGTTACATTAGTATAGACAATTGTAAATACGGTATTTTTGAAATCTACTTTTTAAAGGAGTGAAAATTCTTTGATTTTATAATTAAATCCAGAATTCGATAGGTTTAACACATTAAACATTTATTTTCTCACTGTTCTGGACTATTTTAACAAATTAATTAATAATTTAGTTTTTAAAATTGAATTTAAAGCAAAGTTGTGCACCAAAAACAAAGTTTACATTTACACATGCGATCATAGAAAGATTCCGATCATTAATAATGAATTTTTAAAATTTTATCTCTACTTTTGTCGGAAATATTTAATTAATAAGTTAGTCTCAAATATTGATGGAAATGCGGTATAAAAGGTTTGGGACGGACATGAAATCCACTTTACAATGCTTTTCATCACACAATATGTTTGCCTCTTATCTGATAGAAATATAATTCAAAGAAAATCTCAAAAAGTTTTTGGCTATCAATGAATCAGATCACGTCTCAGATAAAACTTATCTGTTGTGTTGTTGACAAACATTTTCTTTGAGATTTTTACCACAAAAGAATCATATTTTTAAAAATTTCTTCAAAAGATAAAGATTTGATTGCAATAAAGCTTATTATATGGAATATATGATCGGTGTATAGATCAGAGAGAATATTCTTACCGATTCTGAACACACAAACATAAATATATTTATTTCAATGCTTTTTACAGCCATAGTTTTGAAACAGACTTGAGTTCCAGGTAGAACTTATATCAAAAGTAATTACTTATAGTAAAGTTTTAAAACTAACTTAACCAAGTTGCAACTCGACTTAGCACTAGGATTGACAAATATTACATCACATATGAGGGATCACTGACACAGCCGTCGTGTCACGAAACGGTCACTTGGATTGTACTCAATAAACCAATTTATATGACTTTCCATCAGTTTCATCAGTTGAGGACTACTATGCATAGCGATGGACACGGAGACAACTTCAGACCACTTCAACACATCAATCACAGGGCTATGCGAACCAGCATTAACTTCCAGGTAATTTCAAAATACATTCAATATAATCAAGTTACATTAGTATAGAAAATTATAAATACGGTATTTTTGAAATCTATTTTTTTAAATGAATGAACAATTTTTTGATTTTATAATTAAATCCAGAATTCATTAGGTTTAACACATTAAACATTTATTCTCTCACTGTTCTCGACTATATTAACAAATTAATTAATAATTTAGTTTTTAAAATTGAATTTAAAGCAAAGTTGTGCACCAAAAACAAAGTTTACACATGCGATCATAGAAAGATTCCGATCATTAATAATGAATTTTAAAAATTTTATCTCTACTTTTGTCGGAAATATTTAATTATAAGTTAGTCTCAAATATTGATGGAAATGCAGTATAAAAGGTTTGGGACGGACATGAAATCCACTTTACAATGCTTTTCATCGCACAATATGTTTGCCTCTTATCTGATAGAAATATAATTCAAAGAAAATCTCAAAAAGTTTTTGGCTATCAATGAATCAGATCACGTCTCAGATAAAACTTATCTGTTGTGTTGTTGACAAACATTTTCGTTGAGATTTTTACCACAAAAGAATCATATTTTTTAAAAATTTCTTCAAAAGATAAAGATTTGATTGCAATACAGCTTATTATAGGAATATATGATCGGTGTATAGATCAGAGAGAATATTCTTACCGATTCTGAACACAAAAACATAAATAAATTTATTTCAATGCTTTTTAATGAATAACATATCTTTGGACTCATTATAAATCATTTATAATGGAAATCACAAAAAATGCAGATTTTATACTCAATAATAAATTAGTATTTAAAGTTTAAATACTAAATTTTAAATTTTAAACCGATTGCGAACTATTTAATTGATTTATAAACTGAATAAATAATTGGTAATGGGTTTAAACTGAGAGAAAACTTTTCAAAATGAATGTCTCTGCAAATTATAGTCTCAAATGACATGACATGTAATCCAATATAAATGTATTCTTTATGTTTTCGCAGCACTTGTTTGCGCCAAAGAGAGCCTAAAGTTTTAAATTGATAGCAATTAAAACTAACTTAACCAAGTTGCAACTCGACTTAGCACTAGGATTGACAAAATCTCAAGTCTACATAGGGGTTGACTTATCCCTTTAAAGTTGGCTTTCACATTGATTTGAATAGGCAAACAAAAATCTAATCTTATAATACTCCCCATATCTAAAACTCAAGATGAACTTAAGAATTAAAATAAACTTAAATTCAATCTTGGTTATACCTTCGCTTAAGCTTAGTTCCAACTCATAATGTTTAAAACTATGGCTGTTAATGAATAACATATCTTTCGAGTCCAAAGTTTGGACTCATTATAAATCATTTATAATGGAAATCACAAAAAATACAGATTTTATACTCAATAATAAATTAGCATTTAAACCGATTGCGAACTATTTAATTGATTTATAAACTGAATAAATAATTGGTAATGTGTTTAAACTGAGAGAAAACTTTTAAAAATGAATGTCTCTGCAAATTATAGTCTCAAATGACATGACATGTAATCCAATATAAATGTATTCTTTATGTTTTCGCAGCACTTGTTTGCGCCAAAGAGAGCCTAAAGTTTTAAATTGATAGCAATGGTGCTTAAGTTTTGAAGGTGTAGTTTAGACAATAATTATTAATTAAAAACTACATCACAAACACAAATGGATGAGAGTATGATTACAACTACAGACTGGGTATCAGTGGTGATGACAGTGCTCTACAGTAGACTTAGAGTACACTCTAAACGTCTATTGTTATTATGAATTCCTCACATCCCATACAATAAGTGCCAAACTATTATCAATAAGAAATTAGAGACATATGTTTATGCACTTAATTACACTTAATTATCACGACTTAATCAAAATGCAATCAATCATTGCTCTTAGGATCAAACTAATGAAGTGGATGTCGAGCTTAAGGAACGTACGCCTAAGAAGTCCTCCTCGTGTTCAATGGAGAGATCAATGATGTACAGAGGTTTGCATCCCATTCCCCCGACACGCCATTGTCTACTCATAAATCATATATGAAATATTTTTTAGTCTTTCATTTTTATCATACATTTTTGGGAATAGAAAAAATTGATGACTAATTAATTTGTTTATCATTTACTGCACCGTAATGTGTGCTAACGTTTCCCTCCAGAAAACGGTTTCTCTATCAATAAAATAGTTTTCAAATATAGATAACAAAATAGAGACCAATTTGGTGTCGACTACCAGTCCTTTACGTTTTAGACCAATATTTAGTGTGTTTTTATAGATACATTAAAACCTTATCTTTAGTTTTATAGTAAGACTATTAAAGAGAGGATGAGATACTGTTTTGTTGCCAGAAGTATCACATTTTGAGCTCTGAATTGAGTTAACGGTTAACACAAACGCTTTGCCTATAAATATATTGCAGAATAAATAAATTGCGTGCACATAGTATCGGAGTGTAGTTTCCAAAAACAGACTTTCCTTATAGTAAGTTATATAACAGTGTGTTATAACTGTATATAAAGTTTTATGAAACTTTGACTCAAACTATAATATAATTCGATATTATGTTATATAACGGCATAAGGGGTGCGAAAGGGCAGGCCATCGGACAAATAGTTTATGTTCTCTTTATAGTGAATTATATTCACTCTTAAGTCCATCTGGTGCCACAGCACTGGCATAGCCTACCGGTCCCCCACGAAAAAAATGCGCTCATATTTCTGCCTTTACTTAATGCTAACAAAACTCTTATTTTATTCTCTCTTTCCGTAGCGAACATTAAACTGGATTCCGAGGCATTGAATCACTTATAGATATACTCTCAGTGTTGTCGTCGACGCCAATACCATACCGGAGCGCCAAACGCATCAAAAAACATCAATAATATTCTCTTTCCGTAGCGAACATTAAACTGGATTCCGAGGCATTGAATCACTTATAGATATACTCTCAGTGTTGTCGTCGACGCCAATACCATACCGGAGCGCCAAACGCATCAAAAAACATCAATAATACTCGTTGTGAACACTTGAGACTAATTTATTGTTTAGAATATCTTCTCATATATACTATAATAATAAGATTTTGAGGCAAAAAGCTAAGAGATTACAAACTACGCGAATAATAAACAACACATCAAAGTTTCGCAACACATTTGGTATTACTTAATACAAAACTCAATACACAAAAGCAATTGCCGTAAGTTTTATGCGTAAGAATATAACGGCTCTTATTATGTTTCTTAAAGAATATTCTTTAAAAATTTTGTTTGTATTAATTTTCTTAATAATAAGATTGTATCGTATTTTTGCTGAGAAATATTGCGTGTGTTTTCTATGCAAACACTCCTCTCATTCATTCATAATATCGATTATCAAAATTAATTTTAGACCTCTTTTTAAAGCAAAAATCAAGAATTCTTGACATTATTGGCATAACTATAGTGTAATAAATTCTTGTCTCTATGAATGGAGTTTATAGTGTGAAGTAATGCCATATTGAGTGTAGTTTATATATAATATAATACACGAGAATAATATATTTTAAAGAATATATTTTATACACAATATATTAATAAAGTAGTTTATAATAGAGCTCAACGACTGTGTGCACAATATATCACACAATCTCATACACACTGTATAGTTGTCTATAATTTTATAATGAAATGAAACGCAAACATCTGTCTCTTCAAGAATTATGAAGTTTTGCGAAACCCATCCAAACATTGCAATTGAAGTCAACTTTTTTCTGTTACTTTACTTTAGTATATAATTATTGAAACGAATGCTGTGTTTATCAGTATATAACTTATGCTATAAGAGAGTGAACGCATTGATAATTTCTCTAAACTCTTAATTAAAATATTCTTCACTTTTGCCATTCTTTTCGCAGTTTTTGTAATTTCAGTGCAAAATGATTTGAATATGAGAGGAATGCAAGTCTCAGAAATCCTTCCTACACTTGACTGTCAGCCATCCCTACATCCCTCGCCACTCACTGTATGAATCAATTCAATTGTAGATCAGTATTGAGTGCGGGAGAGAGAGAGAGAGAGAGAGAGAGAGAGAGAGAGATGTGCGGCCGCTCTGGCACTCAATCTTACGGCTAATTATTTGCCATCAATTCTGTGTGTGTTTTGAGCGCCCTATCCCTATCTCTGTCCCCCACTGTGTGTTGAGCTTCTGGAGCTCGAGCTTAAAGAGTAAAGTCAATTGACGCCAAAATTAATTAAATATTAGACTCAGTTTTTCTCGCTGACAATGAAAAGACTGCAAACTTTCAGTTTATATTATATTCACTGGAAAAATGTTTGCTGTGTTTGGCGTCTCATAACAATTGATATGTTTTCTGCGAGAATAATGACTACTTCTGCGACAAAAAAATATTAAAAATCTTCTCTCTTTTTATTATACAAGCTATAAATATAATAATGACTGCCGTTTTAACCCATTTGTGTAATTCTGATACATTATGTCTCTCAGTATTTTGTGGCACAACTTCATCGATTGACAGATATGTTTTAAAATAAGATTTCAAGTAATGTTTTATTAGTTATATAAAATTGTTAGTAAATTGTGTAATTCTTGAAATATTACATAAATTATTTGCAGATATTATATACAATTAAATATTTTATTATTTAAGTTAAAACTTCTTATGAAAATACAAGTTATGTGTTACAAACTAATCGATTCTTAAATTACAGAATATACACAAAACTCATCACAAGAATTGATTGTATAGTAAATAAAGATCTCATAAAGAATTGGGAGGTTATGTTGCATTATTGTTGAGATTATACTGTTATATAAATATAACATCAAAAGAATGAATAAGTAGTTATTCTGTGAAAATAACTCACAAATTAGTTTTATTGCCACAAATCACGCGTTTTGATAATAACTCACTAGATTTCGGGCAACCATTGGTAGCACAAACTCTTTTTGTTCACTATATTAGCCCATAAACATACAGTAGTTAAATATCACATAGTTATATCCAGTACATCAAATAGTGGCCTAATATTAGCCATTATAGAAGTTTTCTTAATATGTTTATTATGTGTTTACTTATTTTCAATTAATAACATATCAAACTCTTTTTGATACTTACAGTTAGTTTTTTCCA